TTCTGTTTCTACAAAAATTATTGTTGGCGTTTTGACAGAGATTGCATTGAATCTGTAGTTTACTTTGGGTAGTATGTACATCTTAAAAATATCAAGTTTTCCAATTTATGGATATAAGATATGTTTTTTTATATATACAGTTTTTTATTTGCCAACTATTCAAAAAATTAAATTAAAATAAAACAAACTATAGATTTATTTTGAGAAAACTGATCTCTTTACAATCATTTGGGTCCTCTGGCTTGTATACGGGGGGTACATCTTGGATATGGGATAGTTTTAAGTTTGTTTAGTGTTCTTCAGCAATGTTTTGTAGTTTTCAGTGTACAAATCTTTCACCTCCTTGGTTAATTTTATTCCTAAGTATTTTATTCTTTTTTTTGTAAAGTTTATTTATTTATTTTGAGAGAGAGAGAAAGAGCATGCAGAGGAGGGGCAGAGAGAGAGAGAGGGAGAGAGAGAATCCCAAGCAGGCTCCATGCTGTCAGCACAGAGTCCAATGTGGGGCTTGAACTCATGAACCATGAGAACATGACTTGAGCCGAGATTGAGTCAGATACTTAACCGACTGAGCCACCCAGGTGCCGCCCCCCGCCCCCAGCCAAGTATTTTATTCTTTTTGATGTTATTGTAAATGGATTAAAAAAGCTCCCTTTTTTTGTTTGTTCATTGCATTGTAATGAAACACAACTTATTTTCTTGTTTTGACTTTATATCCTGAAGCTTTGCTGAATTCATTTGTTCTGGTGATTTTTGGTGGATTTTCTACAAATATAGGATTTTCTCCATTTGAGATCTGTTGGGATTTTTATTGGAATGGCATTGAATTTGTAGATTAATGTGGTGGATTACATTAATGGTAATTCTACTATTGAACTATTGTTATGTTGCTATGACAACTCAGTTGGCCATTATATACTCTTAAAATACGTACTTTGGAATTTGGTTTATTTTAATTTTTAATTCAATATTTGTGTTCATAATTGAGATGTGTGTAAAATTTTCTTGTCCTTTTCCAGTTTTGATATGAGTTGGGAAGCTTTTCTTGTATTTTTATTCTCTGAAACAGTTTGTATAAAATTATCTGTTCTTTGAATGGTCATAGAACTCACTTGCAAAATTGTCTGGGTCTGATGTTCTGCCAGAGGAAACCTGAATCCAAATTCATTTATTATTATTGTTTTTTTAAGTTTATTTATTTTTGAGAGAGGGAAAGACAGAGTGTGAGTGGGGAAGGAGCAGAGAGAGAGAGAGAGAGAGAGAGAGAGAGGGAGAGACAGAATCTGAAGCAGGCTCCAGGGCTCCCAGCTGTCAGCTCAGAGCCTGATGTGGAGCTTGAACCCACAAACCATGAGATCATGACTAAGCGGAAGTCGGATGCTTAACCAGCTGAGCCACCCAGGCTTCATTTTTGTGAATGGCTTTGGTAGGTAGGACTCCGAGGCGGCCCCCAAGGTTTCCATCCCTGCCTGTGGCCATCTCCCCTTGAGTGTGGGAAGGACCACGGATATGATAAGATATCACTGCCATGGTTAGTTTATAATCAGTTGACTGTGAGCTAACCAAAAAGGACCAACCTAATAAGGTGATCCTTTTAAAGGGACTGGGCCTCTCCCAAAACAGAAAGTTTAGAAGTGTGAGAGGGACTGTTGAAGGCCAGGTTGCAAGGACCTGAGTGCTGTCTCCAGGAGCTCAGAGAAGTCCCCAGCTGAAAGCAAGACAGTGGGACTCCGTTCACTGTGAAGGGTCTGGGAAGCGTGACTTTCTCTAGGTTGGCCTCCAGATGAGGGCACAGCTGGCTGACACCTTGATTTCAGCCTCGTGAGACCCTCAGCGGAGCACACAGCCACAATGACCTACAGAGCTGTGAGCTAATGAGTGCTACTTCAAGTTACAAAAACTGTGGCCAGTTTTTACACAGCAATAGAAAACTAATACAATTGCTCGTGGCTTATTCGGGTTTTCTACTTTTTCAGTTACTTTGGGTAATTTGCATTTTGGGGGATATATCCATTTTGTCAAAATTTTAACATTGGCATAAAATTGTTAATAATATTCTTTTGCAATTCTAAAAATCTCTCCTGTCTGCAGTTACATTCCCTGTGTGTAAATACACTTAGGCATGTGTGCATACATGTGTACGTGCACTTGCGTGAGCACTCGTGCAGATGCACGCGAGTGCTGTGTGTGTTTGTATATGTGTGTCTGTGTACAGGTGTGTACAGATATGCATACACTCTTTTTCTTGATTATTCTTGCCAGAAGCTTGTTCGTTTTATTAAACTTTCAGATTCGGCTGTTATTTCTCTATTTTCTGTTTTAAGCATGTCTACTCTTTATTAGTTCCATTTTTGTCTTTTCTGTATATTTACTGTTTTTCAAGATTCTTGAGGTATATCTGTGCTTGGTTTATTTATTTTCAATCTTTGAAAAAATCATTGAAGTTTACAAATTTCCCCTAAAACATCACTTTAACTGAACCCCACATACTTTAATATGTGGTGTTTTTAAATATTTATTTTATTTAAACATTAAAAAAATTTTTTAATTATTATTATTTTTTTAATTAAAATTTTAAAAAAATGTTTGCTTATTTTTGAGAGAGAGAGACAGAGCATAAGCAGGGGAAGGGCAAAGAGAGAGAGAGACACAGAGTCCAAAGCAAGCTCAAGGCTCTGGGCTGTCAGCACAGAGCCCAATGTGGGGCTGGACCTCACAGACCACAAGATCATGACCTGAACTGAAGTCAGATGCTTAACTGACTGAGCCACCCAGGCGCCCCTAACTTATTTATTTTCATGTTTATTTTTGAGAGAGAGACAGAACACGAACGGAGGAAGGACAGAGCAAGAGGGAGACACAGACTCTGAAGCAGGCTCCAGGCTCTGAGCTGTTGGCACAGAGCCCGACTCGGGGCTTGAACTCATGAACCTTGAGAGCGTGACCTGAGCCAAAGTCAGATGCCTAACTGACTGAACCTCCCAGGCACCCCTAAAAAAAGTTTTTAATGTTTATTTATTTTTGAGAGAGAGGGTGAGAGAGACAGAGTATGAGTGGGAGAGGGGCAGAGAGAGAGGGAGACACAGAATCCAAAGCAGATTCCAGGGTCTGAGCTGTGAGCACAGCTTGACATGGGGCTCGAACTCACGAACTGTGAGATCATGCCCTGAGCTGAAGTTGGATGCTTACCTGACTGAGCCACCCAGGCACCCCTAAATGTTTATTTTTGAGAGAGAGACAGCATGAACGTGAGGGGCAGAGAGAGGGGGAGACAGAGGACCTGAAGCAGGCTCTGAGCTGTCAGCAATAGAGCCCGTCATGGAGCTCAAACCCACAAACCGTTAGACCATGACCTAAGTCGAAGTCAGACACTCAACCGACTGATCCACCCAGGTACCCGCGAGTTTCTTCTTATTTTGACCCTAGCTTCATCTTAACTTTTATTACTTGTGCATGGTACTTTGACCGGGGGTGGGGACACAAGGCCTTCCTCATGAGGAGTCCAGGATGCATTCCAGCAGCAGAGCCAACAGGATTGTGGTGCTTTGCCGAAGAGTGAGAGGGGCGAGGACTCAGGGCTGCAGCCCTGATCTTGCCTGAAACAAACAGTGGGCGAGTGGTGCTCACTGAGCCAGGTGGTGGGGAGGGGACCAAGGCCGGGGGCAAGAACCAAAGTTCCTTGGTCACCATAATGTATCATCTCTGGACTATTTATTTATTTATTTATTTAAGAGCACAAGTGGGGGAGGGGCAGAGAGAGAGGGGGACAGAGGATCTGAAGCGGTCTCTGTGCCGACAGCAGAAATCCCGATATGGGGCTCGAACTCACCAACTGCGAGATTGTGACCTGAACTGAAGTCGGACGCTTAACCAACTGAGCCATCCAGGTGCCCCAGCTCTGGACTTTTTAAAAGAAGTACACGTTTCAACACTTTTAAACAGTAGCGTTAAGACAAACAAACAAACAAACAGTTCTTTATTGTATGATGCTTGATATGCTATTTTGACATCCAGGTAGCAATGTTAGAAAGGCAGTTGGGTTTATGAGTCTGCACTTAATGATGTGTGTGCACTTAATGTGTGTGGTGCTCAGAGTTACAGGGTAGACCTGTCGGGCCTGAGCCCTGGGGCTTCCTCTTCTGGAGTCTGGTGGAGAAGGCCAGGGTGGCGGTCAAGACCCTGAGGGGCTGCCGGGGACTTGGAGGAAAATGAGGGAGTTGACCCAAGGGCAGAGAAGCAACCACTTAGAGAGGGAGACTTGACCATTGGAGTCAGCAAGACAAAGTCTTGAACGGCGTTTCAGGGGAATAGTGTGGGTGACATCCCACGGGGGGACAGGAGGGTGAGGTGGTGGGGACACCAAGGGCTGACCCTCTGCATGAGCTTTGGTGTGAAGGGAGCAGAGAAGTGGCTGTGCTGAGAGGTGGCTGTCTCATCTTCTGTGTTTTGAGATGGGACACCTTGGAATATAGCTTTCGGCTAATGGGATTGATTATGATGGCTTCCCTGAGTCCCTGTACCCGCTCTTCCGCCTGCCCCACCCCACCCCGATCGGTATTCTCCTGAGAGAAGGTGAGGCTGTGTGTGGCGCCTGTTCGGGAGCCGCAGCCTCCGTTTTACTCGTTTCTGCTCATCACCCCGTCTCGTGAGGCTGCTTGGGGTGCAGTAGGGGTTGGTTTGGGGACCGGGTTTCGGCTTGGATTTAGTTGGAGGGCAAACGCAAGGCCAGGCCAGGTGCCAGAGACCATGTGTCCTCTCAGGGTGATTCCGTTTAGCTGGAGGGATGGTCACGCCGGAAGCAGTCATTGCTGACATTACCGCGAGGACGTCAGGAGTCAGTGCCTGCCTCGTCCTGCCACAGCAGCGCCACAACCTGTGGCAGCCTCGTGCTCAGACAGTGGGGGTCGCTGTTGTTGGGAGAAAGGACATGGGTGGTGGGGCCGGTGTTCTCTCACGTGAATGTGGAAACCCTTACTTCCCTCCTTCTCTGTTCCTGCCAGGATCCTGGCCACAGCGGGCACTGACTTCGACCTGCGGACCCTGCGGGCCGTGCGTGTGCTCAGGCCCCTGAAGCTGGTGTCTGGGATTCCGAGTGAGTCTGGCAAAAGCAATCAGCCCCAAGCCTACCTGGATCACTAACACCCTCCCCCAACCCCACCATGGCCACAGCCACAGTTAAGCCTTAACCAGTGGGCCCTTTGGCTTGGGTGACTTGAAGCTCAGGGCTCCTGACCTGTGAGAACCAGGTGTGAAGAAGCCTGACATTCTCTGTGAAAGCCCAGAGAGTGGCTCTGTTGTTTTGCCCTGATTTGGCTTCCCCAGATGGAAACTTTGCTTCTCCTCACATGCTCTGCTACATTTCTAGCTCTTTGCTTCTTTTTCTGGGGTCAAAGCACAGACAAGAGACCGAGCAAGGTGGTAGGCAGGATGCCTGACAAAATAGTCAAAGGACCACCTGCTTGGCTCAGGCTTGGCAGGGCCTTGGAGAACTGAGGCCCGGTTAAGACATGCTCTTGGATTCAGCTGCTCAAGGAGCCACACCTGGTTAGGAGCATGGCCAGGGTTACCTTGAGAGGCAGGGGCGGCCCTGACTCCTGTTCCTCAGTCCAGTGGAAGTTTGGTTTTCGGTTTCCTCAGGGCCCAAGTGGGCAGGGACTTAGGGCTATGTCCCCCTGAGGCTGCTGCCGGGGGAGCCCCTGTTCTGCCCCAAGACCCTGCCAGGTAAAGGCTCAGGCTTGTATCTAAGAGCTGGGGCCATGCGGGGAGGGGGTCATGGGGTTGAGCTTCCTCTGTGTGCTGAGTCCCTCTGGCTTTGTGGTCAGTGGTCAAACACTCCTGCAAGCAGGTCCCCTGCTTTGCTTTCTCTAAAGTGTTGGGGCCTGTCAAGATCTGCTCTTCCCTCCCAGCACCCCCTCCC